ATAAGACTTTCATCGGGAAATTCCATACTTCCCAAGATATGGACCTCTAATTTTCCGAAATTCCTGCGCTCATAACTTCATTTATGGACCGACGAAGGTAATATTAGTGTGGTTATAAGGCGTACACATATTTTCTTATGAGCTTCCATATCTCGGGAAGTGCGGATTTCCCCATGAGAGAAAAAAGTCGCAAGGGAGCCCATAATCTCAACTTATGCAAATAAAGAAAAAAACAAATAAAAATCACGAAAATATTCGTAAGTAAATCTGTACTTAGGGCTCCCAATTTTAAAAAATAAGTCTAATTTTTATTAAACCTCTTTAAGATTACTACCCGAAACGTTTGAAATTGTTGCTACGGTTGGTCATTTTAAAACAGACTACAACCACATTTTTTTGTGTCACTTCATACTTCCAAAATTTTGGAAAAACTTTCTTTTTGCAAACCTTTTTACATTTTTAAATTAATTAAACACTTTAAGCGTGGAAATTGTTTAAATGACCTTTTATCAATACGATCATTGTGTAGTTAAGAAGATACAACTGAAACTTATAATATCTCACGTTATTAGAACCAAAAATCTACTTGTACAGTATATGGTAAGTGCACCAATAGTCGGCACTTTAAGAATTTTCGCTTTTTAAGGGAACCCCCCCCATTCTCGATTTTTTATTTTTAAGATTTTAAATGGGCTGGTAAATGAATACCAATGCTTGTTAAGGTTTGTAACTTGGCACATATATATTTGAAGATTTAAAAAGGAAGAAAAATAATTTACAAAAATTTGTTGTTGTTGTTTTGTTGTTGTTTTTTGGGTGCAAGAAAAGTGCACATTTTTTGATAACCACTGGAACATATTTCCAACTGTGTTTATGTCTTCATCTGTCTAAAATTAACAAAATGGTGGACCTTTGAAAATTTTTTTTTGGAAAATCGCCGATTTTTTACCAAAAACCATGTTAAAAAATAAGGAAGATCTTCACCGATTGGCTTTATCCTAGTTCATACAAGCTATACACTTGTTTTTGGAACCGATTGGATTATTGGTTGTATTCACAAAAAAATGTTTAGAGTAAAACGCGTTTAAAGTTTGAGAAGCCCTTTAGCCGTCACTTAATGTTGATACAATAAATCGGATATATCTTCAAGACTTCTTGAGATTTACTTGAAATTTTGTAAAATTCCTTAATCAGTGTAGATTCCTTTTGACACCGAGAATGCCACCATTCCAAGTGCATCTTTTCCACGATATTGTATTTGTATTGTATTGTATTTTTTTACTCCCCCGATGGAATACAAATTTGTTAAATTCATTTGTATTAAAGTAGATTAAATTAATAATTATGTAAAATAGTGCCTTTGTGCCAATAGTCGGCACTTTTTTCTTGTTATGTTCCAATAGTCGGCATGTCGCATTTTAGTTAAACAAAAATTATATATTTAATCGATTTTTCTGCTATTTGCAATAATAAATTATTACTATGGGACGATTCCATCAGTGTTGCATTGAAAAAGTTATATAAAATAATATTATTTATTAAAATATTACAATTATAAAACAGTGTGCCGACTTTGGGAACCTGTTATCCAATTCTCGGCATGTCTAAATAAGGCATTTCAGAGGTTAACAAAATTTAAGATCCAACAATGTATTCCATTATATAAAACCGCTCTAAACTGATTTTTTATAAATTAATCGTTATTTAGAGCACTTATTTAACATTTTTTGCAATTTTGAGCCAAAATGATCGAAAAATTGCTTATTATTCACCCATACACCGACTATTGGAACACCTTAAAAAATTTTGTTCCTAAGGTCGGCATCGATGAAAATATCATAATTACAAATATTTTTTAATAATTTTAAATTCTAAAGTGTTCTCCTGTGTGTTCTTTACAATTACAAAAAAGATACTTGCAAAAATATATTATTTTAATATAATTACAAGTCTTTTGAAATTGATATGTCCACTAATTTTTTCTTAAGAAACATGAATTATCGCTAGTGTTAACAAACCTCATTGACAAAATGCCAAATTTTAACTAAATAAATGTACTTAGCTCGAAAAAATTTTATACAGAGATAGTTTGCAATATTATTGAAGATTATTCAAGGTATTTTTTATTTTTAGTCATAGGATTTTTTAGTTATTTGAAGTTATATAAAACAGATGCCGACTATTGGTACATGCCGGAATTAGGTGCGTTTACCCTATATCTGTGTTACAAAAACTGTAATGACGAGAACTTATTGTTCGGAATCTTCTATAAACTTGGTATCGTTAGGAGGGTAATAGAAATATCTCAATCTAAAGATTAGATGTATGCGCAAAAAACTGACTCGCGTTAACAATTTCCAAATGTGTTGGACAGACTTGTAACGAGTTGTGGGTTCGTTCGATTGCACAGATTTCCATCAATAATTCTTTCGGGTTTTAAGGGTTTTATGGCTAATGAGGAATTAATTTGAATACTCAAATAAATAAAAACTCGAGCTTGCAATCTGCACTTTTTAAAAATGTCGCCACTTTTTATTATATTTTCCTGAGAATGCCGCTCGAAACCTTTAAAATTGTTGCTACAGCTAGTCCTTTTGATACAAATTATAACCACATATTTTTTTTTTAGTAGAACTTCATACTTTTTGCATGTTTAGCAGATTTTTTTTTTAATTTCAATCTTATTTTCTATCCGACCTTCGCCCGTCTGTTAAAATTATGGTAGGGCTCGTAATCTTACAAAGAAGAGAGTCTAGAGTCGAGTTATATAGTCAGCTACTTGGGTAGGTAGGCAGCACGTTGTGGCCTAAAACTGCATGAACAAAATCTTAGGCGAAGTTGTACCTTCGGGCATGGTTGTATCTTGCACGAAGCAGGTATTACATTGGACCAACGCGTAAAACTAAGAGACTATATATCACCACTTCTAAGATTTGACGATGTAGATATCGTTATTATTAGTAGAGACGACTGGAACCGGAGTAACCCTCCTCTGGACGGTCTGGCTTTCTATACAGACGGATCCAAGATGTAAGAAGGTACAGGGGCTGGCGTCTACTGTGTAAGGCTAGGCCTTGAGTTAACCTACAAGCTGAATAGCAACTGCAATGTTTTCCAAGCTGAAATCTTCGCGACTTGGAAGGCAGCGGAATCGATAAAAAGTCTGGATGCAGAGATCGTTGAACCGCTGACTATCTTTGTGGATAGTCAAGCGGCTCTGAAACCATCAAATCCTGTCCTGGCTTACAGACGGCACAGACTAGTGGGTGCTCATTTTCTACCCTAGTCTTTTTCAAATCAGCCTCCCAGATGATATAGAAGTATCTGAAATTGGGATATAGAAATAACTAAAATTGGAAGATTTATTTATGAAAGCCTCTTTGTCATCGAAAACTCGCCTATAGAAAATCGGTAGAGTATCTCTTGAGAAGATTTACAATTGTCTTTATTGTGTTACAAAATCTAAATTTTCCTCTGATTTATCACATGTATTTCGTTCGAATATTGAAATTCAAGCTCCACATCACTTAATATGGTATATAACGAATACATTTTTTTGCGGAGAACAAACTTCTAATAGACACCTAAAAATCCGAAAATAACTAAAAAGTCTAAACAAAGTGACATAACAATTGCAATCGTTTTGCCTTCGAGAATTTATCAGTATCTACTGAATTTGAATGATATACGTAGACAATTTTTTCAATCGACAAATAAATCCAACAGTCTATTTTGTGTTCCATTTTTTGATATTAAGCATGGTATAATTATAAAAGGTAACAGCAAATCCCAGCTGATTTGATTCCAACGTAATACTAGTGTCAATATGAATTTGACAAATTATGTTTTTAAAAATCACCCAACAGGAAAATTGGGAACGCATACAATTTGAAATTGTTCTTTATTAAATGTGCTCCTGTATTCAATTTACTCAATCTGTCTGCTGGGAAAGTTTGAGGAAGCAAATCTTTATTCAAGGAATAACTCGCTATTTCCAGCATTTTCATATGTTATATGGCAATGGCTCAATTGTAGGAAAGATGTGGAAGCGATAGAAATATAAATTTGATAGATTTTCATTCATGTTTTTCAATTTTTATTTTGAGGATTCAAAAAAATTTCATTTTCAAAATAAAAATAATTTGATGATAATTTGTTTATTTGTTTACATTTTCTGTCAAATGAGTTGACACTAGTAGAACTTACAAAAACAAATTTCCATGTGGTTGTTGTATCGTTTTTTGTACAACAACACTTGCTGTTACCTTCTATTATTATACCATGGATATTAAGTAACTTTGGATATTAATGGTCTGTTCCCGTACTGCAAGAATCTACTACTTTTTACTCCGATAACACTTTTTTCCTTTATGATATCAAAGAAAATAGTAAAATCGAGTAGATTCTTGCAGTACGGGAACAGACCATAAGTAAACATTTTGTACACGCAACAATGAAATTTGAATGAAAACGGCATATACATTAGAACTTTTTACCGGCTTAACCTACTTTATGAGGATTTATTTGACATACATACAAAGGAATTGACAATTGAAACCCACTGGATTACCGAAATCCGGTTAAATGTAAACGTACTATAAGAATGTGTTCGACAATTAATTGACAGCTTTACAAACTATGATTTTTAACTAATAATACTCCAGAATTCAATTCAATAAGATTCAGAAAATGCTAAAAGTAGTTAACCAGATGATCCTTAATTTTTAAATGAAAGAGTAAATATTGCTGCTTAATTATTATGTTTATTAAAAATATTCATATAAAACAACACACCGACTAGAAAAGTAAGATCTATAACATTATTCGGATTTTGTACACATCATAATTGGAATTTGAGTTTGTTGTTTTTATTTTTTTCATTTGAGATTTTCAGTGAAACTTGCAAAAAAAAAAAAAAATAAAAAATTTTTGACCAGCCACTATATTTATCGATAATTCACATTTTATATATATATTCTAAAATGCTTTCAAATAACAATTTAATATGATAGGGTGACATCATCAACATTGTGTTCCATATCCATGTCATTTGCTACCAGACCACCGCTTCGTTTACCACCCCAAGAATGGAAACGTTGTTTTTTACCCAAAACGACAGTGTTACGTTTTTCATCGCGTTGCTGTTGCATCATCTGTTGCTGTTGTTGCTGCTGCTGTTGAAGTTTAACATGACATCTATCGATAATTGCATCACGTAGAATATTTGCAAATTCCATATCACTGAATTGTGCCATTAACAATTTGAAGAAGGTCCAAATCTCAGCTTTCTGTTCGGTGGGTTGATAATGACCAAAGAATGCAATTTGTGGTGGTAGACCGTTATCGGTGGCAAGTATAGCACGAGAGTTGTATGCATCACAGACTTCTTCAAAATTTAATATGGCCTGAAGTAAGAATCGTCGATATTTATTTAAATGCGATTCACATGTTTGGAGATCTCTAATTTCAGCCCTGGCTTGACAACAGTAAAAGCATACCAATACTATGAGAATACTGACGCGAATAACATACATGCTTGTTAGTTGAATTATTTTGGGAGCTGAAAGTAGAGAGTAGGAAATAAATTAGAACTGCATTAAAAAAACTAACAAAATAAGTGAAAGAAACTTTATTAAGTTTTCTGAAAAAGAAATTTTATTTAAGGGGACCCCATAAATAAATTTTTGAAGAATTTTTAAATCGGCTATTATTGCATCAAGTGACAGCAAGAGGGCTTCTCAAACTTTAAACGCGTTTTTCTTCAAACAGCGTTTTTGCGAATGGCGGGCACAATAACTCAAAAACTAATGGCCCAATCGATTTCAAATTTTTGGGAAGTTTTTCAGTGAGTGTATCGGTGAAGATTTTCATTATTTTAGAACTTTGATTGTGGTCAAAAATATACGATTTTCACAAAAAAAAAATCCAAGTTCCGCCATTTTGTTAATTGCTGCGCGATGTAAATAATTCTAGTTTATACGAGAGCCAGACATGTACTCTTTCTAACACCGTTGGAATTTTTGGATTCCGATGTTCCAGTGAGGAGTTATCATGCCCGCCATCAAAAATAAGGACTTTTCTTTGATCACAAAAAACAACAACAAAACAAAAACACATTTCCACGACAGAGGGGTCTACGATCCGAAACGACCCGAGTCTTACTCGGCCAACGTCTGTCACCTCAGCCCGTTGTGTAAAAGCAATAGGGCTGCTACAACAACAACTACAAAACAAAAACAAATTTTTTTATATTATTATTTTTCTTCCTTTTTAAATCTTCAAATATATTGGTATTCACTTACCAGCCCATTTAAAATCTTAAAAATAAAAAATCGAGAAGGGGGGGCTTCCCTTAATGCACAAGGGCATTTGAAAGATTGACTGAGTCAACTATGAGCAGAACACAAGTTCAATTGACTGTTGTCCAAAATAAGTATTGTCCCTTATATCCGGAGCTCCTAGAAGCAATCCTCAGGCTGCTCTGAATCGATAACAAATTTTCAGTCACTAGATTTATTAACTAGTTTTCAGGCAACCAGAAGCGCATTTAAAATGGAGGATATAGGGACATGGCGAAGAATATAGGGATAAGGGCTCGCAAGTGTCCTTAATTTGACAGGAGATCACGAAATCTGTCACGATAGTAATTCAAGTGACTATATTTCCCCATACCTTAATTATGATTAATTTAAAATAATACCAAGCAGAGTCCTGGCGGGTGAGCTTCCTTCTCTTGACGGTTTGTCGGTTTGAGAAGCTGATAGAAGATACGATAAGCTACCCAAAATGAACAGTAATAAACAGATTTGAACCCTACAAATACCCCGGGCCTGATACCATAACACCGGGCATGTTGAAGCAATTAGATGATCCAGTATTGGTCACACAACAGGGAATATTTAGGGCTTGTCTGTTTTATCATACATACCAAGTCTATGGAAAGAGGTAACTGTGATATTCATCCCAAAATTCGGAAAGCCGAGTCACACGCTACCTATACTCTGATTAGAATTTCTTCCTTTCTACTCAAGACACTCAAGACCAAAATATGAATTATAAATTCATATATTGGAGAGCGTTCCGAGAGGAAATGTGAATAGAGGAACGCCATCTCTTTACTCTACTATGGGTTCTGGTGATAAATGAGATACTGGTGAAATTCGACCATCTTAAGATAAAGGTTGCACCCTATGATGATGATGTAGTCCTGTTAATCAGCGGGAAATTTCTGTCGAATATTTCCGACATAATACAGGGCGCCTTTTCAACTTTAACTGGGTTCTGCCAAAAGGTCTTGGGATAAAACACACGAAGACAGAAAAGGTACTCTTCACTAAGTCGTCCTCCCCATACTTACATATGCCTGATTTTTAGATAGGCACACTCACATCAGTTAACATTTTCCCTCCTAGCAGGGAATCCGGGGCAAGTGGCTCCTTACCTCTGGCTGGTCTGTCAATGTATAGAGACGGCTCGAAGATGGAGGAAGGCACTGGTGTAGGTGGTGATCTGAGGGATCTGTACGACCTCCTATTGGCCATTTCATTGGCGAAATCATGAAAGCGGCAGCGGATGGTCATCGGAATGTAGAATTTCAAAAAACTATTTGGCCTGAGTTCTCGCGTATTAGAACTACTTATCTGCTGTCTCATTGTAAGAGAGAGCTAAGAATTACTGTTGGGATCATAACAGGTCACTGAAGGATTAGATCACTCACTTCCAAATGGGACATAAATGAAGTGAATTATTGCCGTTTATGTGAGGATAAGTATGAGCTGGAAATAATTGAACATATACTCTGTAGATGTCCGTCGTTAAGTAGCAGACTCTTAGGCACATATGAAAGTGACTCTCTAGCATTCTTCTTCTGATAGACCCCAAGATTTTTTTAATCTTGGCATGATAAATTAACCATCAACTATACGCTCTACCAACTTTTATTACGGGACAAGTTAGATACTCCGATCACATGATATTTTATTTTTCAGCAAAATGTTAACTATTTTGTGGTTGAGTTAACAGAAAAGTGAATTGATATTTTCAATCTTCGAATTTGATTCAAATTTGGAAGAACTTTTCCAATATCAACACAACATAAAACCTGGACCTTTTCTTCAATATGTCCCAATTTTTTTTTGTAGTATTTGGAGAAGAAAATTACAAGTGAGGAGTAATTCCTTTATAGACACACTACATTTTTTTATATTAATTAATTTTTTAATTTTAATGCAAAACTTTTCATTTTTAAAATTTCAGTTTTGTTCTAGGAATTTGCCAAATTAATTCGAAGTACATATATCTTGTAATTTTAATTATTTCATTATGCAAATTCAAATTTCCGTTTCAAAATTCAATGTATTTAAAGCCATCATATTTTATCGTATCGAGTGGCGAATATTACACTTTCCGCACAACACTGCTTCAACTTTTTCACAAATTACATTAAAAATATTCGGTTAACTTCAATTAAAATAACACCAATTAACTATTCCAATTTACCTTTTCGGCTAGAATAAAAATTCAATTATCAATTAACCGAGAAAGGAAAGTTTTGAAATCAAATTTTAAAATTGAATTTCTCGGTGGACCGTTGCTTGCGAGTGACTTGTGAATTGTCAAAGTTTAAAATGAATACTGTGCTCTGGGAAGTGAACAACTTCATGTTTTATACGCTTTCAGGGAGCCAACACAGTTTAAAACCCCTTTCCCCCATCCCTCCTTTCGAGTGGCCGTGTTGTTGGCGTAATAATATTCATAAAGGATAAAGACCATTTCATATTAATCGTCAGTTTTATCCCAAACGAAGTACACTTTTAAGGCAGTTAATAAAATAATTACCAGCTTTAAATGGGGAAGGGCGGGAGGATGGACGGACAGATAGGCAGGCAGTCAGAGTCAGAAAGACAAATGCGTTTGGTGTGGGTTGAATTCTTTTACCGTCCGGCTAGTAAGGCATGGCGTATCACATGCACTAGAATGTAAACACTTCGTCGATGTGCCGACAGGAATATTCACACTTCGTTAACAATTGAAAAGCAGCACATTCTAGTGAATGAAAGTTGTTCGTTGTCGTCGTGTTTTTGTTACGTTTTTCTCTTCTTTTCTTCTGCAACATTTGATGGAATAACGTTTTGACAAATTAAAAAAATAAATAAAAATAAACGATGGGTCTTATTGTCCTCTAGCCCATCCACCCACCCCTCTCTCTCTCCCTCTCTTCTGTATTTAGGATTTCTTTGCGCGCAACAAGTTGTTCTTATCAATTAGTTTACTTGTTGTTGTTTCTTTTCGGAAAAAATGTGAAGGAATGAAGGATGATATGCAAACATGTTTGTACATGCAATTATTAATTATGTGTATATGACAAATCGCTAACATTTAAATAAATGTTAATAATTGTTGAGGCGAAAATAAATGGAAATGGTGACAGGTATTCGTTCAAGAATTGGAGAAGGTGCTTGAAATTTATTTAATAATTGCATTAGTAAGAATTTTAAATCTACCACGGGCAAAGAATCCCTTGTCATGTGACCTATATCAAACAATGGTCCTATATTACACATTTACTTTGATGCGGTTGTTCAAAATAGAAGTGTCCTATCTTTCTGAGATTCAGGTAGTAAAAATAAATTTCATCACTTATTTTTACCAAGCTTAGAATAAGTCCTAAGAGAGGATCTATTGGTCCACTCCTTCTGATACCTCCCCCAAAAATTGTCAAATTTTCAATACTTATAAATCTAATATCAGGTGAATGGAATGCCTGATTTGAACAAAACATTGCACAAACTATTATCTTTACCCAGTCTAGATCAATTCCGAAGATAGGACCTAGTGGTCCACTCTTCTGGAACTTCCCCCATAAATGGTCAAAAATTTCAATATTATATTATATATTATATCCAATATCAGACGAATGGAATGTCCGATTTATATCGAAATTTGCACAACCTATTATCTCTACCAACCTATTATCTCTCTCTTCTTCTGACACCTCCCCAACAAAGGGTCAATATTTTATAAATTTGTAAATTTTATTTGAAGCTGATTGAATAACCGATTTGATCAATGTTAAATTCGAAACATATGCCTTAAATAAAGCGATTGTGTTTAATTCCGAAGGCCTACCTAAACCTTAGGCTGAGGCTGTAAGCAACCTAGGATATTTGGTCACTTTTTAATCTAATCAGCTGTTATTTTGGTTTCCGGAAATATTAAAGGCTTTAGATACATTTTTCCACCGGAGTGGCGGCAATTTGGTGTAAAGGGTTCTTAAAGGGTAAATTGTAATATAGGCTCTACATATATGTCTTGCACCATTCTGAGTATTGTAAATTTTTTATCCCAATTATTCTCATCATATAAGTTGGCATATCGGATCGGTCAGATCGGCCCGACCGAACATAACATATTAATGACCGCTTTTAAATCTCAATAATTTCATATCGATTGATCGATTTGCAGCTTCCAGGTTTAAGAATGTTGCAAGCTGGAAACTGGTGCTGGGGACAGTTGAGTCGGTTTAGTTGGTCATTTGTGACCTATGATAGGAAATTTTGATGGGTTCTATGCAGCACTTCTACGAAAAAATTGTCCTTGCTTTTGTAGCCAGGTATCTGTAATAATATTTTCACCATATACTGTTTTTTGCTTCTCTTTTATTTTCTCTGTCCTTATGCATTTGTTTATATCATACGATATCTCAAAGGATTTCTATTTTTGTTTTTTATTTGAGTTATTTGTTTGGAGAAAATGAGCAGCATATTTTATTGCATTACTTTCATTACGAAAGTGAAAGTAAAATAAACAAGAAAAACTTAATTTTTTAATTAGATGAACATAAATAGAATTCATTGCAAATTTTCCCACGTAAAAATACCAAATTATAAAATTTTAATTTGGGCAACGAAATTAAAAAAGAAAATTCATTTGAGATGCTTTAGAAGAACTAAAAAAATAAGAAGTCGTCATCCATGATTCGTCACCTGTGACTTCTATACTGATCCTTGGGCTAAATTAAAGAGCTGTGCCAAATTCCATATCATTTGCATACTAAATGCGTCCTGTACTTTATTTAAAAACCAGTAAGGAAAGTAGTAAAGTCGGACGGGGCCTACCACTTTGGATGTATTCAACAGGGCCACTAACATGAAATTGGATAAACAAAAATATTTGATATTTATCTAAATGTGAACCGTTTTAGATCAATTCATAAACATTTGAGTATAGAGTCGTTTGTTTGCAATGGGGCAAATTATATAAATCAATTTAAAGGAAATCACAATCGGACATCTCTTGATTATTTGGAGCTCAATTAAGGTGAAGTCGGTCGAAAATATATATGAGCTATGTCTACATTTCTACAAAATGCAGTTAAGTCATTCTCTGCTCATTTTTGTAATTTGTGCAAAGTACGTTTTGAGCATATCGGCCATGGGAACTAAACTAACTTCAGAACGTTGCTCAAAATGTTATTCCTAAAGGCCATATTTTGGGTCTTTGGTTAATTACACTGTGCTACAAAATAACAAAAAAAAAAAAAAATTTCAGGGGTTCTAATGTACCAATTCTGTTTAGTTGGAGTCCCTGGATTACGAAAATACCTTTAGTTTTTCTGGGTCACTTCGAAAATTAATTTTATAACGGTAAATATAGAGAAAAACGTGGTTTCATGGATTTTCCATTTGAAACTTGAATAACTTATTTACTTTTTACGGATTTATATTATTCTTTTTTTCTTTCGAAAAGTAAAATTTTTCCTTTCAAACAAGATATATATTTGGTAAATCGGTTGAGTATTGGCTGAGTTACAGCGGTTGAAATGTGAAAAATACGCATAAAATGACAAAATTTATTTTTCTTCGGACTGTACGATGAAATTATGATATCAAGCCATATAAGTTTAATCATATTACGGGGAAGAAAATTAAATTAGCTTTCGAAAATGATAAAAATCGGATAAAAAATATATATGGAATATCTAAATCTGAACTGATTTCAGCGAAATTTTCCACACCGTAGGTTACACTAACTTCAGAAAGTTCTGCAAAATTTTGTGCCAATCGCCCATATTTTGGAGCTTTGGTGCCCCATTTACTCAAAATCGGACGAAACTATATATGGGAGCTATATCTAAATCTGAACCGATTTTTCCCAATTTCAATAGGGTTCGTCCTTGGGCCAAATAAGTGACCTATGCCAACTTTCATCCAATTTAGATCATAAATGCGACCTGTACTTTGTTTACAATTTAAGATTGACAGACAGACGGACGGACATGCATACATCGACTTAGAAAGTGATTCTATGCATATTCTCAGAAGGAACCATGTGTCTATTTCGTTTCCTATTACAAACATGTGCACAAAGACATAATACCCTGTACCACGGGGAATAAAAATGGAGAAACAGACGGACGGACTATTTGATGTAGACTCAGAGAGTGGCAATGATATACACAAAGATGGTGTGGGTAATAATAAAATTAGTGTTCCAACAGGTACAACAATAGGCCATTTACATGGGGAAATGGACATTATTTTCTTTCGTTGTCGTACCTGTCTAAAGGATGCTATGACGTGGGTGCATTAGATCCTCCACAACATCTGTGACGTATGACTACTAATAATTTTTAAAGGGTTACAAATCAATTCCTCTTCTACTGATGACAAACGTTAACTCCACAAGTGCAATTTCAACCCACACAACGTCAATCTTAACTACGACGCCACTATGAACTCAAACGTTGACCTTTCTAATTCCCCTTTAAACTCAGTAGAATCAATTCCTGAACGATGTTCCGGATAGTGTCTCAATTCGTCAAACATCAATGTTTGAGCATTTGCAGTTTAAGTTCATTTATTTTAATGTCTTCAATTGTATTTTATTGTTATTTAAAATATGTTGACATACTTTATACTCAACGCCTTCGCTTAATAATTTGTACACCAATTAAATAAAATAAACAATCTGTTTAATTTTTTTGCTAATCATTTCACGCACAATTAACAATTATTTCATGTTTAACATTATTCCGTTTTATTTTCTTTGCAGAAATTTCGCTTCTGTGGTGATGGTGATTGTCCCGATTGGGTATTGGGTGAGATAATATCTACCCTGTCCGTATTGGAGGCTAACAAATTAAAAACTTTAGCCGATATGGTGGCGAAAAAAATATTGGGACATCCATTTGATGTAATTTTAATGGCCGTTTATCACATTTTCAAAATTACCGATTAACAAAAAATTTTCTGCTCTTCCATTTTACAACAGGAAGATGAAGTTAAGGCACTGACGTCATCCGTCTCAGCCGATGGTAAAACGGCCGTGGCATGTATACACTTCTTGTTGAACAATGCGGCACGTCATAATGCCAGCGAATTGGTATTCAATGAGGAAATACAACAATTGGGTCTGCCCAAGGAACATGCAGCAGCAATGTGTTCCGTATTAACGGAACATGCCACTGCGATACGTCAACGTTTGATTGATAAGTCTTTCAAAAGTTAGTTATGCATGGTTATCTATTATCTAGTAATGCTAATTTTTTTCTTCTAAATATCATTTTTTCTATTTTTAGTTAACGAATTGGAATCGATACGTGTTCTGCCACCCTCACCGGATAGCATTGATTGTAGTCGTTTTGAATTGAAAATTTCACAAGAATTAGTAAATGGTTTGCCGCAGGACACCACACATGTGCTGAGCATAGACAAAGCCCAGTTACGGGTGATGTTGGAAGAATTGAAATATGCCAAAAGTATTATGAAAAAATATAATAGTGCTGACATAAATAAAATATAATTGTGATTTAGGTAAATGCGTTGAAAATGTGGATATTATTTAAAATATGAATATTCGAGTATATAATTCAGAAAAATATTGGTTGTAGTATTTATAAAATTGTTTAAAGTTTAGTGTTAATTGAGTGACTGACTGATGGAAAGTTAGAAAGATGTACAAAAGGGTTTTGGAAATTCGACCTATAAGTGTACTAAAAGTACTAAACTTTACTGAATTTAGTTCTATTTGTATATATATTGAATATATATAGCTAAAATCTTGAAATTTTATATGGAATACAGGTTGGGAAGTGGTGTTGATGTATGGAAATGGTTTAAAATTTTCGTACTTATATTTTTTAAAAAGTACTAAATGGTAATAAATTTGGTACTATTTGTATTTATTTGAGTGTATATAGATGGAATCCTTATGTGTACGAAAAGTACTTAATGGTACTAAATTTCATGCAAGTTGGATTTCGGTTCACAGATAGAACTGGAGTCTTGAAATTGGGAATTAAAATGACTGTTGCAGTGTAGAATTGAGGTAGTTTTAGAAATTCGTACTTATTGGTACGAAAAATACTAAATTCAGTACAATTTGGATTTTGCTTGAACGGACACCACTTCATTAAATGTGAATGGATAGAGTTGGACTCCAGAATTTTGGAATTAAAATTACTTTTGGAATGTAGTTTAGGAAATTCTTAATTATAGAAACAAAAAGTACTAAATGCTACCAAATAGTTAACAACTTGTTTTTGTGTGAACGGATAAGGTTGAGTTCATAAAATTTACTTACTAAAGAGTACTAAATTTGGTAGAGTTTAGTTTAGAGTGAACGGATAGATATGGAAAACTTAAATTTGGAATGCAAAGATTGAGGTAGTATTCGAATTTCGTATTTATGGATACGAGAAGCACTAAATGATACTAAATAGGGTACAATTCGTTTTGTGTGAGCGGAAATCCGAAAATTTGGCATTCAAATTAAGGGTGGAGTGTAGGAATGAGACATGAAGGTAGTTTTGAAAATGCGTGATTATGTGTACTAAATGGTACTAAGTTTAGTAAAATTTAGATTTAAATGAAAGGATAGATATAGTAAACTTTTATTTTAAAATAAAATTATTGTTAGAGTACAGGATTGAGACAGTGTTGAAAGTTCAAACTTAAAATACGAAAAGTAATAAATGGTACTAAATATCCTACAATTGGGATTTATGTGAACTTAGGTTAATGTGGGAGTGTAGATTTGATATAGTTTGTAATATGGGTACGAAAAGTACAGAATGGTACCAAATCTGGTACAATTTGATTTTCGCTGAACAGACAGAGCTGGAATTCTTAAATTTTAACTTACCATTACTATTTGAAATCAGGATTGAGGTACATTTGGAAATTCGTACTTATGAGTACGAAAGCTACTAAATTTGGTACAATTTGCACATTGGTGGAATTAAGATTACTGTTAGAGGGTAAGATTGATGAAGTTTTAGAAAATCTTACTTATGATCATGATGACACTAAATTTGGAACAATTTGGATTTGGTTGGATCCTGAGATTTGGAATTTAGATTACTGTAGAAGTGTAGTATTGAACAATGGAGATAACTTTGGAAACTCGAATTGATGTGTACGAAAATGTGTAATTATATAAAATTGCGAACCTGTACATATTTGCTAAAACATATAATTGGAATTCTTATCTATTTTAAATCTGTGTAATGGAAGTAAGAGATATTTCGGAAAATAGTATTTATGTGTATGAAGAGTACTAAATCGCAAACTATAGTCCAACAAATTTACAGTATTCACGATTCCATATGAAATATATTGTTTCTTTGTGTTCCCTTTCCGCATACGAAGTAGCGGGTACTTTGATAGTGTGTTATTTTTTAGTTCCATATATTCAAAATGTCAGGATCCAAAAATCTTCTGAAATGATATATTTTAATGTGCTGTCTGATATCTCCAGTTTAGTGAGTCTAAAATAATTGATATTAATTCATAATTCTTCGACAATATGTGGACACAATTTGGAGGAAATGCTCTGGTTCACTGATGTCAGGGACATATGCCAGATTCGAAATGATTTTTTTCTTAAAATATGTTATTTTTTATTGAAATTCATTCCTTAACATTCCTTAAACTATATATATATATATAGCTCCCCAGCCATAACTAAAAAGAAAATAGTAAGAGCAAAACCAAATCTTTCAAAGTACAGAACATCCTATGCGATAATATATCTCATAGTATAGTATCAGATGAAACACATTTGATTATGAAAGCAACCAGGAAGATTTTAACATAATCCGATCAGTAGTGCCAGATGTAACTCCAGACCATAAAAAAACATGAGGCATCAGTAGAGCATAAGCCAGCCTCTTTTTAACATACAATGGTAGAGTAGTATTACGAACAAGAGTACAATTTAGTACAAATTACGAATAACGCCAAAGACTTTTCTTTGAACAAAATCAACGTTGTTTTCAAACGTTTTTCATCAATATAAATACCCAACATTTTATTAGAGCTTACAAAATTATATTATATGATCAAGATAAATATTAAGATCTTGGGCAAAAGTTCCAAGGATTCAATTTCAATGCATTATCCAAAGACCATTGACTGAACGATGATAGACAGGTTCAAAATCGATGCAAGCTGTACAGGTTGTGTCCTTAGGGATGATGGGACTGGGTGAGTAGGTTTAGCAGGGCAGTTGAAGAGGTGTACACATCACATATATTTTTTAATCCCGATAGCTGAAAATAAAGACAAATAAATCCATTTATAGAAGTTCATCGCCAGGAAATTTTTAAAAATTACTCTATTTTGTTTTTGATGATGTGTCGGTATTAAAACTATTTACCTGTCAAGCAGGTTACTGTTTACTTCATGCTCTTACAGTTCTTCTTTATTCGATTTTATTTAATTTTACATCTCCATCTCAAAAGACATTCCACAAGGAAAATGCCAATAGCTGCTCCCCATCCGCACAGCAGCATGATGAAAGCATATTGATAAAATGCCAATGTCAAAGCTTCTTTGCTGCCCTGCTCATCTTTAAAAAGCCTAAATTTTCCACCGGACAAGCCATCCCATTGTGCATCTCTGATGAATTTATTGAAGATACCACTTTCAAAAAGGCGCGAAAGATAACGATTGAATTGTTGTTGGAATGGTGTTCTCGGATGCATTGATATGAAAAATAGTCGATGATAAATTGGCTCGGCTAACTTTATGGCCCTTGGTCTAGTTAAATACATTTGTTGAAGAAGTACGTAGTCAACTAAATCTTCTATGGCTGGGTAGATGTGGGTCATAATTAAATTTTGTCGATTCGACGTAAATTGATCATCATCTCCAATGTAAATGCGTTGTTTAATTATGGGTGGCAAATTATGTGACATAATGTCGTAGTACTCCTTATCCAGGCTATAGATATTGATTTTCAAATTGGTATCTCCAATATCGTTGAGAAGTTCCAGTTCACTTTCATATACCTTGGAGGTATACAAACTCCAAAGACTTGAGGTGTAGAAATTCGTTAGAAAGAGGCCAGTAAATAGGCAAAGTAAACAGAGGAGGAAATGTTTTAGGTTCCGATCATTGGATACAGTCGTCAGTGCCACAAAGAGTATGACCCTTAAAGCTTCCATAAACATTAAACTCAGATCGCAGCTTCTGAATTTCGAACATTGTAATATGATAAACATGAGCAAGACAAATAGAAATCCAGTGATTATCACCAAAGACCACACAATGCCATCAAATGGTATCAGCAAATATAAACTTTTTGGTATTTCTTGAGCTGCGGGTACCAATAACAATATCCTCACTAAAAAGGGTGACCAACTGGGTACAAATAGCTTGTGAGCATCCAATAATATCGGTAAGAAGGTACAACCCACCGGTACACATTGAATTAAAGCAGATTGCATGGTAAAATTTTCCGACCACATATCGGCAAAGAAATATTCAACAGTTCCATTGTGATGTCGAAAGAAAAGCGATATTAATTTGTGAATATAACCAGCATACACCAATTGTCCTTGCCGGTTTGTATAGTTGAAGCAGCGTGGTGGAAAATCTACGGTTGGTAATTTAATTGAATATCCTTGAAAATTGTCCAAATCTTGCATTTTGATGAATTCGGAAATATTATGTATAGCTTTTATTTTAATACTTGGATATGGATGATACATAAATAGATGATGGTTGGTCCATATCATAGCCGAGGATATACCCATGTGCCAACATGTTTCAAAAATATTCATCAATTCTTCATGCAGATATTCAATTTTCTTTGCTTTATAAATTATTAATAAATCTGTGAAGTATAAATCTTTAAGTAATCTATCAATGGCCATTAATGTTGAATTCCGATCTGTCCATGTCATCCAAGTCACCGTTAGACAATTTTCCGAAAATTGTCCTTTTAAGCTCGAAATGGCTTCATAGTTGGTATACATTATCAGTGGTAATTGTCCCGTTTTCATTTCCAATTCCATCAGATCTGAATAATTTCGATTTTGATTTATTTGAAGATTTATAAAAATATTAATATCTGTACGGCGTTCTTCATTTATTTGCTTTATAACTTCTTGAACACTTATATTGAAACATAAATGCACTTGAGTATGTTGTAGAAATAACCATATGGTGGTATAATAATACACTTGTAACACCATTTTGTATTGAAATCTAATAAGCAACTGGTAAAATTTATGCTTTTTCAATATTTTTCTTATTTTTGTAAAGGGCCTAGTCATTCTAGGAGGAGTCGTTCAGTTTTATCAGATGTCGACACTGTTATTTCAAAACAATAATAGTAATTTTGTGTATCATATTTGGAGGAATAGGTATGGTTGTAGTTCATAACACAATGATTTGTAACAATTAGTACATATTTTTACTGGTTGTGGTTTAATATAGAATTTATTAATTGTTGCTGGTAACATTTGTATGACATGAGACACAACAAGGAGGAATTCTATTATCACTTCTGTGTGTTACCACAATAAATAGTCTCGTTAAGGAACTTAACCGTGGAGTTATTCCATCCACTATTTTATGTCGACGACGGTATAAAACTTTTAAAAATATAGGATTCAAACATATTTTCAGAAAGACTGAGGCGGCGTTAAATTTTACCTTTAACTGGATGAGTCCGAGATGCATTTATGTTACTCCCGACATATATGAAGAGCTAAGGTATAGCAATATCAAATACAGTGAAATATCCTAGGCCGGAAACAGTAACACACATACAGTAACGGGACGATAAATCCTGATCTATGGTATAATCTTTCTGCAGAAGAACAGTAGTAGTTTTAATACAAAAATGGCACAATATATAAAACCAGTGAGCGGAGCAGTATAGTCGGACGGGGCCGACCATACGATACCCTACACAACTACCACTGAACTCTAACTTTCTGCGGATGTTTATTCCGAGCCTGGGCAATATTTAGTGATATTTGTCCCGACTTTCCCGATTAGAGGTCAGCAGCACATCTTCCTTACATTTTACGAATATTACAAATATTCAGTACAGCCCTTCTACTTACTTGTCCGGATTCCCTTCACGGTGGGTTGAGTTGTGATGTTCGGCTTATATTCGACTAGAAAACACACAAAGAAATTAAGTTTTCCGTCCACTTCATCCCAAAATTTTATTCTGATCATCACCGAAAATTATAGGCGTTGTCCTTGGCCATAATTGGAACGTCATGGAATATTTCAAAGCGATCAGCGCTATATTTCCGCCCTCTAATTTGGTAATGGGTTACTAAATAATATTTGAATACGTAAGCACCTGTAAATATTTAAGTGTAACTCCCACATCCGAATAGATACATCAATATATTTGACATCAATTTAAAGGTTAACCACTCCTCTTGGATATACTATCAACTTATCGGGTCTATATCCTTCAGGAGCAAATATATAAGCCATATAATTCAAATTTTGTAATTTTTCACACAAAAGTCAGAGTGCATTTGACCCGCTAAATAATGACCGATATTTATCAAAGCAGACATGCTTATTCTTTGGCCCGAACCTCTTCTCCATGTAAAATTTCGCGATGTTCGGACCATAATTGCAGCCTCTGGAGCGACCAGAAAAACCGACAAAAATTAAGTATTTGGTCCATTTCATCTTCTAAATATTAACCGATCTTCTTCAATACAATAGGGGTCTTCATTGGCCAGAACCCATCCTACATGCAAAATTTCCTGAAGATTGGTCCATAACTGTGGCCTGTATCGTGTTTACAAATTATAATGGACAGACGGACGGACGGACACACGACTCAGCTAGTCGAAATATGACGATCGGTATACTTAAGGTGGGTCTAGGACAAACTCTCGGGGCTGCACAAAGCTATAATACCCTGACAATATAGTTGTGTAGGGTATAAAAAGTAGTAGAAGTAGTTGGCTGATCAGCAATGGACATAAAATGTAAAATAAAACCAGTAAAGAAAGTATAAAATAGTCCGACGCGGCCGATTTTACCACTTTGGGTACATACAAGAGAAACTAATATGTACAATATCCTGTAGATAGAACAGACATAGCATCTTTAGAGGACCATTAGAATGGAATCGGGTGAAATTAAATTTTTGATCTGCATAGATATGGGCATTTCCGCAGTCACTTACACGACTTTCAGAGGCAAAATCAAACTTTAAATGTTAAATAAATCAAACACAATTAAATTTTGTACAATTCTTCCTTAATACTTTTTTGTAGAACTTTGGGAATTTGGTTCACCATTTACATAAAATCGGACGAAACTGTATATAGGTGCTATATCTCAATCTAAACTGATTTCAACAAAATTTCGCATTCTCAGTACGCTGCGCAATATTTTGTCTCCATCAGACAAAACTTGGGGGTTTCGTGAACAAGTTACCTAAAATTGGACGACCTATAAATAGGAGCTATATCTATATCTGATTTCAATGAAACTTAACACACACTCTATGCTAGTCTCAATTCCATATGTTTTGCCAAATTTCGTCACATACGGAGCAAAATTGGTCCCATTTCAATGAAACTTAACACCCTCTATCCTAGTCTCAATTCCATACGTTATGTCAAATTTCGTCACAATCGGACAAAAATTGGAAGTTTGGTGCACCATTTACATAAAATCGGACAAAGCTATATATGGGAGTTATATCTAAATTTGAACCGATTAAAAAAAAAACCTTCACAGACATTAATTCAGTACGCTGTGCAAAATTGTGTCTCGATCGGACAAATAGTGCGTGTTTGGTGAATCGTTTAGATAAAATCGGATTAAAATATATAAAGGAGGCCAAATAAATGAGCTGTGCTAAATTTCATCCAATTCGGATCATAATTGCGACCTGTACTTTGCTCACAAAAATACATGGACGGAAAGACATGCACATGTAAATCGACTCAGAAAGTTATTCTATGCATACTCTAAAGGAACCATGGGTCTTTTTTCCTTTTCCTTTTCCATATTCATCATAAACTTTATCGTGAATCGGGCAGACTTAGGACTATTTCATGCTAAAATTAAACTAAAACATTGTTTTTAAATTTAAATACAAAGCATTATATAACGTTAGCGCCATCTATTGGAGTTAACAGTAAATCAAACTGCTAGAATAGCGCCGGCATAAACCACACCGAATAATACAAGTATACCAATGCTTTTCAAACAGTTAACATTATCATATAGGCGAATTTATGAAATTCGAGATACAATGTTGAGAAGGTAAAAGAAAATAAGAATACCCTTGAAATATGCACTTGATTTGCTTGTTGACATATTGTGACATTTGTGTCCAAATTAGGATATATTGGACCCGACAAAAGTAAATACTAAAAAAACCGAACCGAACTTTATATGCCCTCAACGCAGTATCCGTATGACATTTGTTTGTAAATAAATTTTGACCTTTGCAATGACGTTTCCTAGAGTTGGAATTTGCGAACAATCTGAAAAAACTTGTTAATTAGTTTAGAAATGATTGATCTTTTAAGGGAACCAGTGCGTTTAAAGTTTGAGAATCACTCTTGTCGTCACTTGATGCTGACACAATAAATTCAAGAGTTCTTGAGATTTTCACTTCAAATTTTGTGGCGGCATTCTTGAATTAGTGCAGTTTCAAAAAACTAAATCAAATTGTTTGACATCGAAAAGGGGCGGAGATATGTATTATTCTATAAGAACCCAAAATAGCAAAATACAAAAAAATCGGATGGAAAATCTTTAAAAAATCCACAAACGTTGTCTTGCCTAGCAATATAGTTTATGTATAATTTTCGTCTTTTTAGGTTGGTTTTTATAACATCCACAGATTTTTATAATACCTTACAGTACTGAATTACTAAAATTGTATGTTGTATGTTGATAAGTAATTGAATTCGTGAAAAATAAAATTAAATTAAAAACATTTAAATTCACATATAAGTTTGACTTCCGGATTTAATTACATTTTCCTCAATATATTTATAAAACTTCCATATAACGGTAGCCCAATATTAAATGAGTTTTTTATACCCTCCACGATTTAATATAACTTTGAAATTTGCACATATAATAGTACTCCACATTTTCGATGCTATGGGGGATTTGGGCACGTTTTTAAATATAATCGGCTGTAATTTGGCATATATCCATTCCCATTGCAGTAGCTGTAATATATCATTCCGGGGTATTGAATGGTAAACATTTCTATTTAGGACGAAGATTTAATATAACAACACGGTAATGGATTGTAAAGCCATAAATATTTCCCGTTTAATTATCGGTATGTCCAAGGTCTATATAAGGTCGGCCAGTAAGCGAATTCATAGAAAAAAACTTATGTTATTTTTCGTAACATTGCAGCATTTTAGGTGCTTTAAGGTTCAACATGTCCCTATTATTATTTTCAAGAAAATAATCTAGGGCATGAATCTTAGAATCAGAACTCTATTCCGACTGTCTTCTGATTTTCATCCTTGCATTTGTCCCAAAATTTACGTGGATTTTATAGAAAACTGTGTACATAAATTGATCGCGTATACATTCAATGATATACTTCTGAATTATTTTTTGTATTCTCACAAAAAAGTTTCAATACAATGTCAATCCAATTGAAAAAAAAAAATAA